CCCCCCCCCCCCCCCCCAAGGTCCTGTTGTTACCTTTGTGATTTATGATAGTTGCTAAACATTGAGTTGAAGTCTGTAGGTATGGATAGTGTATCGAATTATGTAGACCTACTGAACATAACCCAAAATGTCATGTTGTTACCTTTATTATGTTCGTTGTCATCGATGAATTAAATGAACAGTATTAAATAATTCAGTTAAATACTCAAAGAAATTTTACGAGTTGAATTATCATTTGAAGATGTGCTAATGTGTCTCATGTACAGATAAATTCCATGACATTTGATTTATTCATTATTACTTGTCTTGGAGATCCATTTTTTTTTTAAAAATGTTGCAACTCGGTGTTTATTGTTTTTCTATTTTCTCTCTCTTTTTAAAAAGAAATTTCTTTTGAAGATATAATTTTTTTTTACTTTTATGTTTTGGCGGTAAAATTTGAGACACAAAGCATGTCTTATTTAGAACAACTTGTTGCCTACGCGGTCCTTTATATATTAATTGCTATAATATGTAGTATTTAAAATACAGATATAAACATACAAATTAATTGGGAAGTTTAAAAAAAAATTGCCTTCGTGATGGCTTTAAATTTAGTTCCGTGATGGCAACGGTAATAATAATAATAATAATAATAATAATAATAAATTGAGTAATTTTATAGCGCTTGTGTCCATGCTATTTTATCATGCTCAAAGCGCTCTGATGTCCTAAAATATATCTAAAGAAAACGTTTTTAAATGACTTTTTATCATTTTCAATGTCACTCAAAGCTTGAGGCAACCCGTTCCACAATGTAGGCTCAATAGTTTCAAAAGAGCGCACCTCGCATGACTTCTTTCAGTGTCCACCCACACTGGTAACTCTCAGTAAGGACTGTTAGGAATCAGTTTTTGAAGATATACAGGTGTAGAGCCTTCTATACAGCTGTACGCCAGGGACAGAATTTTGTAGTCAATGCGCTCAATCACAGGAAGCCAATGGAGATCTTTAAGAACTAGGGTGATGTGGTCAGATTTCTTTATACGGGATACAATGCGTGCTGCAGTATTTTGTACCTTCTGGGGACTCTGAATTTGGGTTTGAAGTAAACCCCACAAACAACTGTTACAGTAATCTAATCTTGAGTGGACTAGAGTTACTGCTACGGAGTTGACTGGTTCTTCCATTAAGTTGAGGACGCAGCTGACACGAGGCGTGAAGATGACAGAAACAAGCCCTGATCACAGAACTGATATGACGGATCACAGTAGTAGTGGAAACTTGTCCTCTAGAAATAAATATATTGCTTTAAAATGTATGAATTAACGTTTTAAAAAAATCGGTAAAGCAAGCGATGGAAATTTCATTTTAATATTATTTTTTTTATAAGAACTTTAAAATGGTTAACATATTATCTAGTCTATAGAACATGGTGCTGGGGCGATACGGTGCTATTTGACAAAAGGATAATTATTCATGTATTTATTATTTGGATGGTGGGGGGGGGAGGTCGGATAGGGCAGGTGAGAGATGTCACTCGAGTTAATAAAAGTCAAGGAGTCATCGAAACAGTTTTCATGGCAGTTTTAGTTGATAAAAAAGTCGATATACAGACGAATTTTAAGATCAATGGCCAGAGTAAAGATATACGATATGTCATATATGGAANCACATTATATTTTTTTATAATACAAAAAATAACAACAACCTGAAATTGGCATTCATATTAAACTTTCTGTTGTGATAGATGTATGCGGACAGAAGATTTCACCTTTATACATTGAGTAGAGTGTGTAAGATTACATTTTTATTTGTTGTTAAATTTTAAACATTTTTTTTAGTTCGAAGGTGTGACGTACTTAAAGGGGGGGGGGTGAGATTTGGGGTATATTATGAGAAAAAAGGTGGGTGGGGGGTAAGTTGTTTTTTTTTCAAAAATTGTGTAGCTTACTCTATGGATGGCACCTAATCAATAACCTCGTCATCCTCTTATTTTTTGTAAATGCACAACTGAACTTCAGTAGCCTATAGCTCATTTGCCGCCAGCCTCTCGCACAAATACTTTTTCTTTAACATACACATAAATATATTTTAAAATAAGTTACCATGTTCATGTTAACTGTATGCTATAAATTCATTTCTGTATTAAATCGAGGTATGAGTTATAGCCTGAAAGATCTTGAGTTTCAGCTGAAACTCTTGAAATTTGTGATCCTGGAGATGACTTTCGAAAATTACCAGTTGTAAGATTGCATAGGCTAAATGAAACCAAATGAAGTAATTGAAATACTAAACACATAGAGCAGAATGTCGAAACACTGGTTAAAAGATTTTTTAAATAAAATAATTAGTAATCTACAGATTGCAGTTGACCAATATATTACAGTCAGTGGCGTAGCTAGGGTTGGTGTCACCCGGTGTGGTAAGTCACCCCCTCCCCCCGACGGATTTCTTATTGCGAAAATAAATCCACAGAAAAACAATGACAAGAAAAAATTAATAAATTGAAGGTCAGGAAGTAAATCTATTTAAGAACTATAACAACGTAGGCCTAAATTTATAGTTATTTTTACATTAAAATTAATTTTTATTATTTTTTAAAAATAAATGTAAGTTAATTATTAAAAGATATTAGAAAATGTTATTAAAAATTATATTGTTACCCCATAAATGGGTAAAAGGTTATTTTTTTAAATGTTTTTAATTTTTACAGATTTGATTCATGCACTTAAAATCACTCGACCACATCGCATTTGGTGTCAATGGAAGGCTTTATTTCTCAGCATTTTTCTCCCCTTACAGGGTCAACTTATTTCTGACGCATCAACCTTGAACTTTTTAATAAAGCATGCATTTGGATTGGTTACATGTATGGAAAATTTACGAGTGATCGGTTTCCTTTTAATGAAATTCGGTTAGACCGAGCAGAGTGTGCTTTGTAAATATGCAATTTTTCAATTTGGTTTCAACCCTTGAGATGGTGACACCCTAGGCGGTACACGCCCCCTTGCTACGCCACTGATTACAGTATATCTTCCATCAATAATTTTTTTTAATCTATACTATAAAACAAGCAAATAGCAGACAATGCAAATTTCAACAATAATTGAACTGTTTACTGGATATGGGTTTACTTTTATGACAGTGACATTCTTTTTTCTCTAAAAAAAGATTACGCTTTAAGTTCAACAGAATTATGCTATAGAACCAAACAAATAGATAAATAATATTTAATAAGTAGCTTACTGTAATGGTGGATTTGACAAGATTGTTAAAATTAATATATTTAAAAAAAGATCGTGCGTCGACTCCAAATAGACTTGGTGTATAAAAAATATATACGGAATCTTTTTCATCCGGAAGTAAAGCATGATTGGTGCAAATTTGTCCCAAATGCATTGTTTGGCGAAGCTTTGAAAGACAATTTCAAAAACTTAACAACAACTATACGTTTATAAGTAAGATATACTTTTTCAGCGCAGATGTCTTTCCCAAGAGCTCGTATTCGTAGATTTAACGAACTGAGTGGTGAGTTGTGGTAATTATTCTCTATAGCCTTAATCGTGAAAGAAAACACAAATCAGATTTATCATGACAATTCAATGATTGTCATTACTATTACTATTATTATTCATATTGACAATTATTCATTTAAATTAAGTAGTTAAGTTTAGTAAGCCTAAGTTAAAGTTCAATAAGAAGCTTGCCTTACTTTACTTTTTGTTAAATGTTAATTAACTTTATATTAGGCTTCGGCTATTCGAACCCGGCCCGGGTATCAGAATTGAGAGGTTTGGCTAAGTAAAAGATATTACAACTGAACTGAGCCTAGCCACTGCCCTAACTGACCAAAAGATGTGTTTTTAAGTAAATAATTAAAATGAAATACACTCAAATTAGATTAATGCCCTTTAATTTACTATGACCCAATGCTTAAGTATGAGATTACTTCATTTGAATGAGTTTCAAACCATTGGTTGATTTTGGGTTAGCAGTCTTCTTCTTATTAATATTTGAATTTGAGGAACCCACGATCAATTTGTTGATCATTCTGGCTCCTGGTTTAAATTTAGAGTTTGCCTTCTTTTAGATGGGTTTCCGTCCAAGGCTAATGAGTCCCATCCACCCGGGGTGCTTGGGATGTTGGCTTTGGTGGGGATTGAACTCCAGCTATTTGTAGATACTTTTGTCAAAAATGTAAACATTTTTTAAAAATAAACCAATGGCACAGTTGAATAGAGCTAATTTTAAACAGAATTATAACACCAAAATCATATTTTTAGCTGTTGTAGTTTTAAAGTTATGAATTTTTAAAGTACGACTTGGTTTGTCATTTTTTAACATGGACTTCATCTCCACATTCTGTGACCTCATTCCACTGATCGAGTCATGCGCAATGACTATATAGTTTATATAAGGCAACGCATTCCCTATCACTAAAATACTGTTTAGGGTCGACTTATTTTAAACTTTCAACTTTGGCACATGAATAATTAATAAAAGCTTTCCCTGACCAATGGTTTAATAGCTTTTGCACACGGCAAACTCTTATGAATGAAACTCTGAGATAGTACTACGACGTAGCCGTTATGCAAGTGGCTGTGAATGGTTGCCAATGACAACGTGTTGCACAGGGAAAATTCTGATCATTTATAATATGGACTCTGCAGGGTTTTTAAAGCTCAAATTAAAACATTTCCAGTTTAAATGTCTTCAAAATGCATTCTGAAACACAAAATATAAAATATTTTGATGTATATAGTGGTAATAATTAAATATTTCCTAAGTATCGGCAACTTCCGCCATTAAAAAGGGGGCGTGGCCCACGCCATGTCGAAATTTGGCTGAGCCACCTTATGGTGATATGGGTCACTGTGACAAGTGTAACAAACGTGAGACACGACCTACATCAATGAAACTTGGCACAGATATAGATCAATATCTAATGCTCATACAGATTTAATCAAAAAGGACCTTATCTTATTATTTCACAAAAAATTTTGTATGCGAAGATGCCTTATATATACCAAAGATTTTCAAAATAAAGGTCGATTGAAAAAAGCAAAATAGCTGGCTAGAAATGTAGGCCAAGATGTCTTCCAAATTATAAGGCCGGAAACGGAACTCAAATATATGTGGAAAGAACTAATTTAATAATAAATAGACACACACATCGGAAAATTAAAAACTCGGATTTTTCGGCGCCGACGCCCATTTCCGATACAAAAAAAATAGTAGTCTCCCTTGTTTCATCGAAGTATCTACTATTTGGTATGAGACAGTTTAGATCGCTCTGCCACCCAGCACACCTAGTAACTGGAGTAAGGCCGGCGATGTTTTCCACGGTACATAGGTCAAAGACTAAGAGGTTCCCCCAGGTCTGCTTCAGTCTACAACACTGTATTCAAAAGATTTCGATATTTGTTTGTGTTCCCTACTTCATGCAAGTTTTTGTTTTCTTATTTATTTTTGAAATTGGGGGAAGGGGCTTAGGGAGGCATTACCCCCACTTCCCAGAAGATCATTTTGCACATGGCAAACTCTTACCAGGGAATGAATATATGACTCTGAGATTTTTTTTGGCACACAGAAAATTATGATAATTTATGGACTCTACTTGGTGTTTAAACCTCAAATGAAAATATTCCAGGTTTAATACCTTCTAAATTCATTCTGAAACACAAGTTATCAAAAATATTTCCTAAGCTATTGCAGTATTGCATCGACACCCATTTCCAATACAAGCAGTAGTCTTCCTTTTGTTAAAGTTTTAAACTTCTATTTTCAACTAATCTAAAGACATCATTTTTGGAGCGCATCTTTTTTTTCCACTGGTGTTGGGTCTTGGGGTGTTAACTTTTGTTTCTTTTTTTTCATTTCTTTTGAAATGTGTAAGTTGAATTTTAATCAAAATTAATGGAAAATTCCATTTTAATATATTTCATTTTAACCGTATTGATTGTCAGATTTAGTTTATTCGCGCAACTAATGCTCAATAAAGAACATGAAAGTTATCACACACATCTTTCGGGTCCTATAATTAGTATATATAAGTCCAGTGTTGAGATTCCCCAAACTTCAAAGTAACATCACTGCGCTTAGGGGGAGACAAGTCTTGGCGAAACCCATTCGGTTAACCCAAAATTACACAAAACATCTACCATAGTATAATTGATTTTAAAAATTGAAAAAAAAATGGACTTCTATTAGAACTGTAGTTGTAGACCATGTGACTTGTGTGGAATCTAAAATTTCATTTAATTCATGCATGCTCATTTTAAAAAAAAAAAATGGTTTTAATTTCTAAATCTTGATGATTTTGTAAATATCAATTTAAAAAGTGCACAAATAGGCTATTTCCTATAAATTATAATCACATAAAGAATCCTTAACATTACCGTATATTCAATTTTGGCTAGACTGCCTTTTGAATATCACTACTTTTTTAATACCGTACATTTTTATTTTCAGATAAAACTCCAGGAGTTGGCTCTTACAACCTGGTTGGAGACCAGCATGGGCAATTTAAAGGTTGGTCAGCAGTTTAAGTCAAGTGCATAAGATCTTATTTAGCATGTCAAATATTACCAATAATCAATATCCACCCCTGATTGATATTTTTTGGGTACAAATATTTTTTTTTTTTTTTCAGAGCTGGATAGAATTAAATCACTTAATAAATTGGACCAAAGCTGCAAAGATCTGCGAGACAAAGGTCTGTAGTGTTTTATTATGCTTACAATTTTTAAATATATGCCAAATGCATTATGAAGTGCTTTAAAAATTACTTGATAGCTTTTTAGTTGACTTGTTTTAGCCCCTTCTTAAGTTTAAAAACTTCATCTTATCACAGGTTATATGGCATTAGCGAAAGGAGAGCTGCCCAGACATGTGGAGGAATTGCATCAAAGGCTTAAGGCAGCAGAAGAAAAGGCTATTGATTTGGAAATTCTCAAGTTAGGAGCTGACAAGGGAAGGGACATGCTACAGGCAGAGTGTAGTTCATTGCAATGTGAAATAAAAAAACTGGAAGGACATATAAAAGAACTTGAAGTGGAGAAAAAGGGACTAGTAGAACAGAAACAGCAATTAGAAAAAGAGAATATCAGAAATGTGAAGGAAAAGGACAAAATAGTGAGAGAGCAGGCGGCACTGTCATCTAAGCTGGGTCTTGTCTGCTCTGACCTCACCAATGCAAAGGAAGAGCTTCTCAAGTCGCAAACAGAAGTGGGGGTTTTAAAAGCTTCTAAAGAAAAGTTAGAGGCTGAATTATTCAAAATAGAGGCTGACTGGTCAGAACGGTTAAAACAGATTGATGTACTCAAAGCTCAGCTTGAAACATCACTGGCATCTATTGGGCAGGAGAAAGATCAAAGTTCAAACTTAGAGAGAGAGCTTGGGAATTTGAAACAAGAGTTGGAGGTTATGGTGCAGGAAAAGTTACAAACTTCAAAAGATCTACAACAGGCTGAGCTGTCTCAACAAGTTTGCAAGAATGATCTTAGTGAATTGCAAGATAAAATGAGTCGCTTGTTGGAGAGCAATCAAACTATACAGGAAAATATCAAACATCTGGAGAGCAATAAGAAAGAACTGATTGATCAACGGGATGGTTTGTTGGAGAGCATTGAATATCTTAATAAGACTTTGTCTGAGTTGGAGGAAAGAATTGCATTTGCCGATGAGGCAAAGAGGGTTTGTGCCTCTGAAGCTGAAGTGCTTAGGCAAGAACTTGAGATTTCAAAGGTATCAACCTCAGATTATAAGGATTTATATGAGGAAAAGACAATACAAATAGATAACCTGACTAGACAAATAAAAGAGTTTGAAGAGTGTGTTGAAGAGCTGAAGGCTAAAGTTGCTCATTTAGAAAGTGTAAATTTGCTGCAGGAAGAACAGTTGGTATCTGTAATGAAGGAGATTGTGGGAAAAAAGGAAAATTTGAGCACCATCGTCAAGAATCACAAGGCCCTAGAGCAACAACTCCAGACAGAGCTACATTTGAAAACAGAGAGAATTGAGTTTCTAGAAAGTAAAATTAAAGTTCTTGAGACCGCCATAGCTGAGAAAAGCGACAAATTATCAACAGCTGAGAAAGAGCACGAAACCAAAATAAAGGAGATGCAAGAAAATATTCAACAAGCGCAAACAGAGTTTACAAAGAGTCTAAATCTTTGTTACATGGAAAAATTGGCTGCTTTGGAAGCTGACAAACTTGCTTTTGAAAATAATCTCAAACAGAGCTTTGAAGAAAAAGTTGTGCAACTAGAAACTGAGAAATTTAAATTTAAACTGGAGCAAGAGGATAAGTTGAAAGAGGCAATAGATTGCATAGAAAGAGAAAAAACTGAAACTGCAGCAAAGCAGCAGTTCAATTATGGTGAGAGACTCAAAGTTGTAGAAGAGGAAAAACAGAATTTTATTGATCGACAGGAGAAAATATTTGAAACAAAATTGATGCAGCTGGAAGCAGATAAAGCCAACAGAGAGAAAGAACTTGAACAGGAGTATTTTAAAAAAGTTCAGTCTTTAGAAAGAGCGACGGCCGAATTGAACATCAAGCAGCAAGAAATGTCAACAGAGAACAAAAAATTCTTGGAGACTGAAAAAGAACAAATCCATAATGCTCAACAAGAGCTGTTAAACAGTGAGCTGGCATTGCGTAAGGCACAACAAGCTCAATGGTATGAGGATAGAAAAACTCTTTTGGAGGCAGAAAAACGACAACTTGTTGCAGAGTTGGAGCTTAAATATCAGGAGAAAGAAAATTTGCTGCAGAGGAGCAATGAAGCTTTTTTACAAAATCAGAAGAAAGTTCATGATGAACTAGGGGTTAAACTAGCTGAGGAAAAGCAGCAGTTTGAGTCAGCTGTGGAGCAGAGTTATAAAAAAAACCTCCAAGTATTAGAGGAAGAAAAGGCAGCATTACTGAAATCACTCCAGGCAGAATTCTCTAAAAAAATTGTCGAATTGGAAGATTCCAAGGCTCTGTTAAACCAGTCAGTTGCAGACTTTGAGAATCGGATATCCAGCTTGGAGAAGGAGAAGCTCGGTTTGGTAGAGAAGAGAAAGAGTGACCGTGCTAAGGCTCTCGTGGAGCTCCAAAAACTTGATCAGGAGAATAGAGACAAAGCAGATAGACTGAAGGGGCTGGAGGAGAAGTGTACTTTGCTTTCACATGAAAATGAAAAGATTTTTGCTTGTGTACAGTCCAAGGATAAAGATTTAGAGAGGTGGGTTTTAAATATTGTCTATTGACTTTTTTATTTTATTTTTGCTTTTATTAAATTAATTATTATTATTAATTACATATCATAAGCTGCATTTTTATTTTATTTTTTCTTAATCAATACATCAACAAAGCCCGTTGTTTTTAGTCAAATCACCCAGATGGAGTTGGTTTAAATATTGTCTTAAACAAAAGTGGCCATATCTTAATTGTTTCAATACATATTTCTTTATTTAGCCTAAAGAGGGAATTTGCTCGATATAAGGAAGTGAAGGAGGAGGAACTGCTCGATTTGGTTGAGGCTGCTGAAAAAAATAAAGATTGCCTGCATAATATCATATCTGAAATGTCAGATAAAATTCAAAGCATGGAGGAAGAGATGACCCAGTTGTTAATGTCACAGTCTGAAAAGTGAGTTAGTTATAGTACCTATAGATACAATTTTTATATTTTACAAAACAAAAAAAAATGATGAATTTAAAACTGGATTTCAGGTGAACCTTAGGTAAAAAAAATTCATTAAATTTTGCTCAACAGCTGGAAAGAAAAGTTTGAAGATCTAGAAAAAAAGTTGGCACCCTTTAAAGAAACATTAGACGCCTTTGAGTTGGAGAGGAAGCTCTTACAAGGTGAGTTTTTTTGTGTTATAATTTTTAAATAAAGTGACCTTCGCTGATTCAAAGCTCATAACATCATGTAGTGTCAAATATTTTTCTTAAAGCTAACAATGATAGTGATACAAAAAAAATGAAACATCCACCATTGTTTGGTTTTTTTTCATCCAGATCGAGATAAATACACATGTGAGCAGATAGATAAGTTAACTAAGGAAGCCATAAAGAACATGGGTCATCAGAATCATCGGCAGCGAGTCAAATATGTGGACAATCTGAAACAGGAAAATATTACTTTGCACAAGGTAAACTTTTTGCCAATCAGATCATTATTAATTTCCTCTTCTTTTCCTTTTTCAACTCCCAGTGGAGCATATTCTGTGATAGTCTATTAAATTATCAATCAACTCAAGTCTGTGGTCCTTGTAACAACTAGCCTTTATTCACCATTCTACATTCTTTTTATTCCCCACATCACATGACCACTCACTCCAATTCTCCAACTAATATTCACACATTTAAGTTTGAACGTTCATGAAAACGGCTCACCACGTCCAGTCACAAAGTTCAATCAAACACACTACAAAAATAATTGTCAGTCACTCATACTGTCACAATGCCACTAACATTATCTAACCACGCCTTCCACTCTAGCAGTCCTCTCTAGCTCTTTTTTAAATCTCTTTCTGATTCAAAGTAGTACTTCCTTATCGGCCTCTTTATTCATTTAATGTTTTTTAAATCACTGCCAGCCATCTTCTGCTAAGATTATTTTAATAACATAGGAAGATTTATGTATTCATGTTATGAGATTTCTAATCCAGGTGCATAGGAAATTCAGTGTTTTCTTTTTTTTTCTTCTTTCACATTATATTTAATTAAACCAGAAACTTCGAGATACTCAGGAAGAACTGCACAGACAAAATGTTCTGGTAAAAAAGTACAAGGAAAATCTTGAGAAACTGGAGGGCTCAAAAGATCATAGTTTCAAGACTCCACTGAAACCAAGGATACCGCTTAAGGAAGGTATGCCACTGTTTTATTATAATATACTTCTCCCCTTTATCTATAAAGATGACAGCAGCTGCTTTTTTTTTTATCATAACTCCTATTTGCACAATGTGAAAGAAAAAAAGCCTTATTACTTATTTTTGATAGATATTTGAAGAGATGTAATAGAATATAAACCCTCAAACTGTGGTCGGCCGGCCAAATCGGCCAATATTCTTGTTCTATGCTGTGACGGCCGATAAAAAACACGGTCCGATAACAACTTCCAATCCAATATTTAACCGAAATCATAGCCATTTCCTTTTATTTAATAATTGAATCAACTTCAGGGTCAAGCTGTTTCTTGATAACTTAACAATAACTACTTTTTAATCAGAATTTTATATCGTTGTTTTTTTTAAAGCAAAAATGGCGGAAGCTATGGCGAGAACTAATATAAATATTTTTGAAAGCTTTTTAGGAGAGGATTTAAGTGATACTGATGATGTATTTAAAATTCCCCATGACATCTCAATTCAGATTCTTCTTTTTGTGAATCTGATACTAGTCTTAGTGATACTGAAGTAGGCCTACTGAGGCTACTGTTTGACTTCGAGCAAGGTTCGGAGGTTGGGCAAGGACTGACTGAATTTTAGCCACAGATTATAGATCAGAACTAATAAATTTTATAGTTAAACAACTCAAATCAGTTCCACAGTTCCTTTTTAAATGGTTACTATTCAATAATAACTATTTTGCCTGAGATTTTTTATTTTGTACTTGGTTTTAGCAGTGGTCCCAGTTTCTTATATAAATGATGTAAAATTACTAAAATTGCTTTCAGATGTTTAATTGCAATCAAAACCTTAGCAAATTATACATTTTCTGATAGATAAATGAATTGGCTACAACATTTAGATTTGTGTTTTAAGTGTATCTATAAAAATTAATGATGTTATGAGCACTTGAAAGCAAAACATTTTGTTGATTTTTATTTTCTTGAGAACTCCAAGGTCAAGGACACTTATTAAAAAAATTTTTCGGAGTGAGCAATATGGCCAAATTTATCCCCATCCATTAACCTTTCTAAAAATATAGAATTATTGGGGTCTTGCATCAGTATTTCTATTGTCATTTAATGCAATTTCAAAAGGCACTCAAATAGCTCTGAAAAGCTCCACACCACAGAATGATGCATGCCACAGTTCTAGAGTTAATTAAGTCAATATAAAATGTCAAGAAACTCTTGCATTGATTGACTGGGTTGACAATCTTATATAGTTTAATATTTCTGAATGTTGGATTGGATTTTTAAAAAATAGGAAGTTCCAAGTTTATCATTTTCTAACTTTTCTAACATTTACACATTTAAAAATTCTTTTACTTTTAGGGAACCGATGAACACAAGCATTTAAGATGTGGCCTCTGTTAGAGAACGGAACAATTTTTAAGCAGGACTAAAAGCAAGGGTTTATGATTGGAAAATGAAATTTGTATCCCTAAAATTAGGACAACTCTTCATTGGGGGGATGTGTGTGTGTGTCATTCATTTATTACACAAGCGAAAATTGTTCTTTAATTTATTCCCACCAGACCCATGTAAAACCCCACCCCCTCTCATAGTGTATGTTGGATGAACATGTAAAATAAAATGTTTTATTTTCACTAGATATTCTTTCCAGGTCCTCTGTAAATGTCACAAGATACCGCATGTATTTCAAGTGGCCTAACATATTGTGACATATTGATGTCTTGCTGTTGTTTGCTCAATATGAATGATATTGAGGATGTTATGTTTGCTTTTAAAAATGTATTTGACCCGTATTTATGAAATGAAAATTAAATATGTATGTTCAAACTAAATGGATTATGTTATTTCATCTCAATAAATGGATTTATGTTGTGTGCTGAATATCATATTTTTAATGTGTGCCGCATATTTTATCTTTAAAAATTTTACAATTTCAGCATTAACAAACAAGTTATTAACATTTTCGATATTGTTACTGTTGGAAGCGTAAACAATTTAATTTAAGCAGTATGCATTTGTAAAATAACAAAACCTTAGTGGTTACTTTAGGATTAGCTTGATTGGGTAAACTCTTTCCCTAAAACATTAATCATTAATCTCTTTGAAAATGTGGAGGGCAGGGAAGACAAAACGAAATAGGCATTTCAATACAACCTGGGATAATATGGTTTCCATGGTATATTACAGTTAAAAGTAATTAGAAGTAATTAATACAGTACACACCCCACAATAAATTGTAAAAAGAAACTTTTAAATTGATTCTAGCTCAATGAAATTGGTTTGCTTTCAATTTTAAGCAGATTTGCATAATACTTGGACTTAAAGTAAATGCATATTATAAAGTGAAGATGAAAATCAGGAACTTCATGAAACGTTAAGTTTCTTCCATTTTTGGAGGTAAATTTGTATCAGCCCTGCTCTCATTCAGAATGAGTTGACTCTTCAATTGAAACTTATTAAATGAAAAATGATGCACAATAACAAAAAGTTGTTTCTTCTCATACACAAAATTTAATCAAAAATTGCAAAATGTTTGTACAATTATTCATGTCACAACTTTAAGTAGAAACAAATGCATGTATACAAGGCACAAATTATGAATCCTATTTTTTTTAAACAGATATTACTTATATTTGTGCTTTCAACATCAAGTTAAAATTTTCTGTACAATAACATTCAATCTAACTGTTAGCACCCTGAACCATGCCTACAAAAATCTAATTCTTTCACTACATAATTTATAAAGTCTTCCTACTTGTCTCTTGAAAGTGCTGAGCAAGAGACCAGTAGAAATGAACATCATGGTGCATTATTTTAAAAACAACATATTTTTTTGCTGGAATGATTGCAATCATAACATAATAATAGTATACAAACTTTAATTCAAATAATAGAGATAACTGACTAAAGTGGCGCGTCCAACAATAAAAGAGTTTTTGACAGCAATTTGTTTACATTTTATTAAAATGGCTTTAAAATGGCTGTGACACTTAATTGTACTAAATGCTTAACACATTATTATTTCAATTACAAGGTGCTATATATGGATATTTACATCTTTTACATATACAAGAATGCAGCCATTCCTCTCTTTTACATATATAAGAATGCAAGTGCTCATCTCTTTTACAGATATAATTAAGAATGCAAGAGCTCATATACTAAAACATATAATGAAATCCTCCAATACCCAGTATTGAGAAGTCACCTAAAAACCCCTTTGAAGGATTTTTTTAAACCAATCTATTGCTCTAAATATAATCAAAATAAATGACCTTTAGCAGAATAGGTCATTTAAAAACAAAAAAAAATTTTTTTTTTAATGAAGACTGGATTAGAGCATAAGATATTTAAACAGTACAGATGTAGAAGAAAAATGTCATACCACACTACTTAATACTTTTATACAAATTAATTACAAATTCATGTCAAACAGCTGGAAACTGTATTTATTAGTAAAACAGAAAAACCACCCCCCATTTCATGACCAACAATAAAAAAAAAAAAAGTGAATGTATTTACAACTGTAATAGAATTAGTAAAAGTTACGCAGCAACTGCTAATAAATCAGCAGCATTTTTAAACTAACAAAGATGTCTAGCATTGCATTGTTCAGTTTCAATTTAAAAGTGAATAATAGAGAATAAATCATGGGTTGGTCTGTTGTTAATAAAGGAGAATTTCACTTTAATGAACAACAGACCAATGTAGGCAAATCTGTGAGAAGTTCATGACTTCAAGCGTTTCATGTTAAGTTCAGATCATTCTAGAAACATGTATTATTATTTGTTCCTGTTAAAACACTGATCAATGACAAATGCAAATGTTTAGGATTTTAAAGTTGTACCATTTGCCAGAATACTGACAGGATATTTTCTATAAAATGGTAAAACTCTGGTTACAAGAAATATCTGGTAAGGGAAAACCTAAATGAAGATCAAACTAAACAACAAACATGTCATTTTCTTCTTTCAGGTTTTCACCATGCCTGTCTTTCTTATTTAATATGGATAAACATGATCCCGGTCTCCCCCTTGCTAATTACTGAAACTGGGTTGCGATGGTAAGAGTGTCCTCTTCCGTTTCTTTTTATTTAGACTTGAATTTTCTTCTGCCTCATCGGTGTCTCCACCTGAGGGACGCTTGAGAAAAGATGACGCTTCAACCTTGGGTGCAACATCCTCAACAACAAATGTATTATTTAAGGAGGAGGGGCTATGTTCCTGTCAAAATATACAAGACAAGCAATTAGCTGGAGGTCTTGTTTGAATATATACATTCGCTTTTTCACTCCTTTGTATTACAGCTTCCAACCTAAACTTCAAATTCATAATCGCTAAAAAGTGTGCCCGTCATCTTGTCTCTGCAAGGTTACTGTCCATAAATACAGTTTAAATTAAATAGTTAATTTTAAATAAAATTGTTTGCAGTCTGGAATAACTAGACTATATTAGATATAATTCCTTGAGTATTATTGTGAAAAATTTTAACGTTGATATCTGTTTATTCTATTTAAAGCAAGATATTTTTTAAAAATTATGAATTTATCTAATAATACAGGGGTTTTTAAACTCTTAGCAGCACCACAACCCCATCTTGATTCAAATCATCAATACCCGCCCCTCCATTTGGATAGAAAGTATTGCAATAAAATAAATGTTAAAATTATTCATATATGGTAGTTTTCCTTCTTTTAATTAACTTGCTAGCAACAAGCAACAAATGCACCCGTACAATCAATATTGTGCTAGCAAAATTCACAACATTTTTTTGCTGCTGCTAATGAAACTGCAAAAATAAAACTGATGTTTTAAAAAAAAAAGCATGGAGAGTTTGCAATAGACTTTCTTGGTCTTCACACACTGCCTCCGACACCCTTGGTTAAGAACCCATGTGATAATACATTTTTTTCTCATGCACTGCATCACAATGTATAACTATACCTTAAGAACAGGATTCAAAAAGGGGGACCTTGAGGAATTTAAATCTGGCATGAAATGGAAATTCTTGGTTCCTCCATACATCATTCTGGTGATTTGCTGATGATTCAAGGACAAAATGCATCAGTCATTTGACATAGGATTTTATAAACATGTACTAAGTTTAAAATCCAGGGATATAAGCTTATTATTTGGCTTAGTTGGAAAGACTTTTGCCTGTGTTGACCTAAAACAATTGCAGAGCCTGGCTAACCGCATCTACCCAGAGTCCCAGTGTGGCTTTCAGAGTGGGCGCTCAACTATAGATATGATATGCCAAGGTAAAAAAGGTACTAATTCGTGAACTGCTGTTTGCTGAGGATGCCGCCTTAACATCTCACACAGAAGAAGATCTTCAGCGGCTAGTTAATCATTCATGATGCAAGAAGCACCATCCCCTCCAATCATATCTATTGAGGGCCATAATCTGTCGGTTGTTGAGCAATTCACATACCTTGGATCCAATATTTCTAGTTCTCTCTCCGTTGATGAAGAGATAAACATCAGGATCATAAAAGCAGCAGCAAATATGGTTAAACTGAATAAGTGGGTGTGGAATAATCTTAATCTAACTGTAAAACAAAACTAAGTGTCAGGCATGCGTGCTTAGTACACTCCTATATGGCAGTGAAGTGTGGACCACATATGCCAGTCATGAGTGGAAACTTCCATCAAAGATGTCTGCATCGCATTTTACGCATCCGATGGCAAGACAAGGTGCCTAACACAGATGTTCTGGAAAATGCTAAAATGTGTAGCATATTCTCCGCTCTAATCCAGAGGCGCCTTCGCTAGTTAAGCCAGGTACGGAGAATCAAGAAAGGCTGTATACCAAAGATGCTGCTGTATGGAGAGTTGGCCGAAGGGACAAGACTAATTGGATGGCCACGCCTGAGATTTATGGACGTTTGCAAAAGGAGCATGAGGGAAGCCAACATTGAAATCAACAAATGGGAGATCATTGCTGCACAACGTTCTAGCTAGCCAACAGCAGTGTATGAAGGAGTCAAAAAGGCAGAAGATGCACGGAATGAAGCCCTTACAACAAAAAGAACAATACGGAAGGCCAAATCTTACCAGGAATCATTATTCTCCTGAGAGAAATGCAGTCGAGATTGTCATTCCAGGATTGGCCTAGTTAGCCACTTGTCGAAGTGTAGGCCTACATAGCTATCGTCTCAAGAAGACGGAAGGATGCCATCTATTAAGCTTATGAATGAATAGTTCATGTGTGCATAACATCTTTAGGTATGCCATCAATGATGGGAGTCAAATTTTTCGCAGGAATAATTTTAAACTTGGAAACATGCTAAGGCGTTTTCAAAATTATTTTTTGCTTCCGTTTTCATCATCATCATGTCCCTTAGTCCTTGGACCGTTGGGGTGCCACAGATGACATGAAAACTATACTAGTCCATTTCTTTGTTTTCTGCACTACACACAGCATCGCCTAGCATTAGTCCCGTCCCCTCTTTGATGTTATCTTCCCATCTTTTTCTCTGTCTTCCGTTTAAGCGAAGTATAAAAAATATAGGCGAATACATCTATCAGTATTCATGTGTAATGTTTATCTATATAAACACCCATTGTTAAAAGATTATCTTAGAGATCACCATGTCCCATCTTGCATCTCCCAGAGGGTCAAGTACAACAATTGGGAGCGCAATGGCCTACAATCATGCAAGTAATACAGGTTAACTTTGGTGCTTCTTTTTGATCTTACACAATGAAAGCTCTCTCCTTATTTATTTTATACAACATATTTAAATAATCACGTTTCATGGCATTTTAAAATTAAATTTAAACAGTCA